CCGGCCGCCTCAGGCAGCGAATAGGCTGAGGACACCCCTGAGGGGCCGACAGGGTACTGTACATAGGTTCCTGAAAGCATCACAGCACTCTGTATCAGTGCTCCTCTCAAGAGCCCTCATGCCTTATACAAGCATTGGGCTGGGTCTTGGGAGGAGTTATGCCAATGTCAAAATGCCTTGATGGGTGGATATCAGTCTGGAGGAGGGGCACAGGGCCATCCCTATAATGACACAGCTTTAAAATGTTGCCTTAGAATGGTTGCTCTGCTACACAATATTTGCAATGTGGCTGCCACCCCCTTTCCGGCCAGAGCGACCCAGGTTGCTAAGAGCTGGCGTCCCGCTCACCTCCTGGCAACCAGTGACGTCACTGGTTGCCAGTAGCTGAGCGAAAATCTCTGGCTGGCGTCTGGCCCAACTCTGATGTCACTGGTTGCCAGGAGCAGAGTGGAACGCTCTGGCCAGCGTCCAACCCAGCTCTTGGCAACCAGTGAGCGTTTGCAGTCTGCTCATCCCCAGTAGGTAATACTAAATATATTATTTAATGGGATTTAAAGAACCTGTAAGTATAAACTTACAAATGTATTTGAAAAAAACAAACTTAAATAACATTCACAGATAAAGAGATGAATGTTTCATGGGTTTACCACAGCTGAAGATATCTGAGAAACTGTTGAGGTGACATTTTGGGAAATTCTCTTCCTGGAACATTTTTACAAAACTGTATAAGGCCGCGTGGGGTCAACACCCCAGCTTTGCCTATCATTAGCATAGTTTTTTCTTTGGGAAAGGGGGCTGTCCCTGGGCATTATATTGTATATATATGTGGGAGTCTAATGACCATGCTGCTGCAGAATCCAACTCAATTGTTTAAAAGTCAAGCTTGTTCTAACCTCCAAGTGCGCCTCCTGTGGGGATAAATGGTATGGTATTAACATGTGTTCTAATGCACAGAGTTTCACAGGAAGTAACCTCGTATTTGTTTCTTTCAATGTAATATAATTTCATTCTTACAAAAACACATGTGCATTTAAAATAGCTCTCCAGCATGTGTAAAATGCAATGCGAACACATGACAAAATTTACAACAGAAGACTTAAAAATGCGGATTTCAAAACATGTTTGAATGAGGCCCTAAAGGCTCCTGGCGCATATAATAACAGGAGGATCCACAGTCTAAATAGGAATTGATGGGCCATATGGTGTTATAATTAGTACAAGCATTGACCCTTTTTTTTTTTTGGAGTGGAGAGTTCGTCTTCCTGTAGGGAATAAGATGACATCACTGTGTATTACTCATGAAGCTTTCATCGTAGTACAGTCCTAGTAAGGCCCAAGGTAGCCTAAAGCTGCACACTTACTAGCAATTATTAGCAATCTAATGGCCATTATTTTTGTAATCAGTATAAGAATCTGTAGGTGAATAAAACATGGGCATTATTTACTGATATAATAATGGCCAAACCTGATTTCCATGTGATAGATAAACAGAGGAACAGTTTTCAGATATATTGTATGTGTGCGCCATATTTAGCAGAGCTGCATATTTTATAAATGGGCTTAGCAAAGCAATAATTAAAGCAGAACTCCCCACAAAAAATACAAAGGGACATGCCAGCTTAAATAACAAAATCAGATTGGCTACAATATTCGCCATCAATTCAGAAATTTCCCCCAAAGGGTTTTTTTCTGTCAATAGATGTCCTCAGTCTGATAGCCCACTGAGCCCTAGTTTTCATGGGCCAGCGCACAGCCTGTGACTGGACAGTGAAAGGGGATGCAGAACAGTGATGACCTCATCTCTATGTCACTCTGTTTTGTCTTCCAACCAGCATGCTTGTTGGCAGCACATGAACCAATTGGCTTACTAAAACCCGAGATGGGTAACTACTTTGCTTCCTGTGTCACCATTCATGTTCAGACCTCTGTGAAAGGTTAACATCAGAGTGGTTGCTGTGAAAAACTTCTTGGTACTCACATTAACGTCATAATTTCAGTGAGAGAAAACAGGCAATCTGCAGTGGGTGTGTTTGGGATTAGCTCTGCTATGAACCCCCGCAAGCTGAGGTTTTCCACGTCACCAGATTACAGAAGAGAGTGGGGTGGAATAATGTGCTAGACCAATACCACATTTTGTCAAAAGTTTGTGGACACCTGACCATAACACTTATATGGCCTTGTTGGACATCCCAATCCAAAACCATGAGCATTGATATGAAGTTGGCTCCCCATTATGGCTATAAAATCCTCCACCCTTGAGAAGGCTTTCCACAAGATTATGGAGTGTGGCTGTTGGAATTTGTGCCCATTTAGCCAGAAGAGCATTTGCGAGGTCAGGTGTTGGTGTTGGATGAGAAGATCTGGCTCACAATCGGCATTAAAGTTCATCCCAAAGGTGTACAGTAGAGTACAGTCAGAGTTCTGTGCAGACCACTCAAGATCCTTCCCACCAAACTCATCAAAGCATGTCTTTATTGGTCTTGATTAGCGTAAAGGGGCACAGTCACGCGGGAACAGAAAAGGATCTTTTCTAGACTGCTGCCACAAGGCTGGAATCCCACAATTGTCTAAAATGTATTTATGCGCTGTAATAGCAAAAGTACTCTTCACTAGCATCACCAGTCCACATACATTTGACCATATAGTGTGATGGTCAGTTCTCTACAGACATTTGACCATATAGTGTGATGGTCAGGTCTCTACAGACATTTGACCATATAGTGTGATGGTCAGGTCTCTACAGACATTTGACCATATAGTGTATACATAATAAGTATCTCAAGGTTGAGTTTTCAGTTTTAAATTGAATTGTACTTTAACCTTCCCCAATTGATATTATTATTTATTTTAGATTGTAAGCCCTCACGGGCAGGGCCCTCCTTACCATCTTGTCTTGAATTGTATTGTGATTGTAATGTCTTCCTTATATTGTAAAGCGCTGCGCAAACTGTTGGCGCTATATACATCCTGTATAATAATAATAATGTATTGGGTATTGTTTAGGTTATTGGGTATATCATGTGATTCCTCAATATGTGCTGCAGATGTCACTGTTCAGCTTTGCAATGCATGGTATATTTACAATGACCTAGAACTACAGTGTATATATATATATATATATAGCACACCTAGACCTAGCTTATTTAATATCAGTGCATGCAGATAAAATTCTACAAATCTTGCTCTTAAATGGGTCCATATGAAATTATGTTGAAGGATGACTTATAACCAATGATAAGTGGATGTTTTATATTGTTAATACCTGGTGATCATATTAGGTATTCTTGTACATACATGCTGTATTCTGAAGTTTTAAAGACAACTGCACTAATACTGAGTTGTGTTGTTATGAGTGCTGTATAGGTTTTATAAAAAGATTGACCAATTGATTGCAGTTGGCATTGTTGGCCTACTATATATTTTTTGTGTAATTGTATTAAATTAAAGGGTCAGTCCACCCTAAATGGATTTTTCTGGTTTTGGTAGATGCTGGAGGTTTAAACCTTCCGACAGTTCCTTATTTCCGTGTTGTTGAGATCTCTGTACTTGAGTTTCTGGGTCAGTACACATTCCATGGCCATTATGAGGGTTTTGACTCTCCCTGTTGGATTTTTTATTTAATATCCTGGATAATGCAATAGGAGGTATTGCAATATGCAAAGCTGGGTGGGAACATCCAAATCTCCAAGGTAGAAAGGAACACAGGATTGAGGGCAACTCCAATGAAACACATTTAAGAGGCGTTGGGGATATTGTGGGCTTGACTGACCCCTTAAAACTAGCTTTGATATGGATTGCTATTGCATTCTATCTTCACGTGTGTTAGACAACATTTTTTGAAGAGAAGTATTGGAAGCTCGTTCACATTACAGTAAGGTGAAAGGGTATGGCCTTCTAAAATGAATTTCCTAGTTTTGCATCCTTTTGATTCTGTTAAATATGCCATCAAAAGCATTTTGGTAATTTTATTGTTTAATAAATGATCACAATGCCTGTTGATCTTTCTAGAAACGTTGCCAGCTGATAACTTCCTTTGCTCTCTGCCTGTACTGCACTGTTATCAGCGTTATTGTTCTGAGGACTACAGAACCCTACCCATCTATGTTATGGTCGGGGGAGGTTCTCCTGGTCTTATCCTGTTTCTGTTGTCCTGTGAGAGTACTGTGAGTTAGTGCTGGCATCCTAGGACAAATATTGTGTTACTTGAAGAATCATCAGATGAAAATAAAGAGGAAAGAAGCCTGAAAAAATAAAATAAAACGAATGCAGCCATCACATATACGGACTGGTAAGCTGCAATATATTACATTTCTGATTTTCAGTTTGGATACACTATAAGTCAGTCACCTGAACCTTGAGAATCTTGAAGATAACCATAGGCACCATAGCTACTTGCTCCTACTTATCTTAATAGTCGTATTTAATTTGCCTTAACACAAGTACTTCTGTCCCTCACCTGCAGATATCCTTTTAATGTGCTCCTTTCTTTGTTATAGCTCCACTACTTTCTGTTCAGAGAGGGGTCAGCATGGACCATGAAGGTGCAGAGGTCTCTAAGACATAAGAATGATGGGGCAGTCAGTAGAATTCAAGGGCAATTCTTGGATATTCCTGCATTGGCATTTAGCAAGCACATGGCATTACTAGTACTGGGATTCTTATAATCCAGAGCTCTATGGATTAAAATGCAAAGAAAAACAGTAGAATGAAACTGTCTAACTGTATTGTGTGCATTTTCCACAGTGGTTTGAATCGCCAAGTAGTTATATTAACACATTTGTTGAATGTAATTAATATATTGTCAAAGAAAGCCAATAACAAAGTGGATTGGGGTCTATATGCTATTTGGGTTGCCACCTTTTCTTCCAGCGAAAACCTGAACACTCTAGCGACGCGCAGACATTTTTGTGGGAGAATGGCTTGTTCATATGTAAATATTGTCGCCCATTCATATGTAAATATCACAGTTGAGACTATTTTCAGTGGAGGGGTCAGTAGCCCCTGTCTTAATTTTGGTTGCCCCTGTATGCGTGACATCTTGTGTCCGGGTTTCAGTTGCCATGAAACCCGGACACAGCATTGAAAACCCCGACTGTCCGGGTGAATCCTGGACAGGTGGCAACCCCATATGCTATACCCAGGTATTATTGTCTTATTGTCTCTTCTAAGCTGTGTCTCCTTTATATCCCATCTAGTGACTCCATATACTTCTCACTCTCCGATCCCCTTGAAGAAATGTCTCCTTCCCAGTCAAAGGATTTTCACACCTACTCCGAAGAGGACATCTTGCAGTTATCCAAAAGGTAAAACAAGGAAATGTGGATTGAAGGTAGCTGTATATACTGTATGTGTGTATATATATATATATGCAATTACTTTTGCACGATATTCTAATTATTCGAGTTTCACCTGTATATATATACAGTATATATAATTTGTGGGTGACTTAAAAACATGTTATGGAATCAGAATGCTGACTGCTTGTTATGGACATCCCACTCACACTGTGTGAGACAATTCTTCTCTGATCCAAAATTGATATCCTGTGACTGAAGCAACCAATGCGTTTATAGATTTAGAGCTGTACTTGTGTGTAGAAAAACAAATATGATGTCGTACTGTACAATACCATTGCAATGTGATGTACATTGGCATATGCTTCCTTATATAATGTGTTTGAAAATCAGTGAAATATGCACCATTGGCTGATTTAAAAAAAATGATCTGATTCAGCAGTAGATCCCCTTCTCCGAAAAGTGACTCTGAGCTGGAAGTGAAAATTCCTAACACACCTCTGCCTGAGAACTGCATGGAATGGAACTGGGGAAGACTTCCACAGGTAAGACCACTTATAACCAGTCTTCAGTGAGGTGACCCTTCATAACCAGGGAAGGACAGGGAACATTTGGCTTGGGGGACAAGGTCAACCAGTTGGTTGGTTCTTTCCTTTTGGGCTAAAGAGTGCATCACACACAAAATATGCCATGGCACCATTGTAACTTGTGGTCATGGCACCTGGCGGATGTCCTTCTAAAGTACATGGGGCAGATAGTAGAGGGGGGGGGGATGCAGGAGTCAACAAAATAGGAATGTGAGGGGCAAATGGGGGGGAAGAGTGATCAGATTGTCAGAATGGGGAGGGAGAAGAAGCAACAAGACTTACTGTATGTAGAGTAGGGTAAGAGAGGGGGCAGTGAAACCTTTGGCCCGTTTGGCCTGGGGGAACAAGGTTAACCAGCTGGCCCTTTAATGGTAGTAACAGTTTCCTGTGGGCTAAAGAATGCATCCCATGCAAAATATGCCATGGCACCATTGTAACTTCTGGTCATGGCAATAGGCGAATGTACATGGGTCAGATAGTAGAAAGGAGGATGCAGGAGACAAAGAAATAGGAATGTGAGGGGTGAAAAAAAGTGATCAAATATTTGAAATGGGGAGGGAGAAGAAGCGACAAGACTGTATATATAAGAGGGTGAGAGAGGAGGCACTGAAGCCTAGATCATGGAAATGGGAAGAGGTGGCAATGTAGCTTGATAGTTCAAGGGAGAGGTTAGTGAAAATGGATTGCATCGGTGTACAAGCCCCCTGGCCCAGTCCACCCCTTCTCATAGCAGATATGTCCAGATATGATATGTGCAGATATGACATTTTTTTCTCTTCTTTGTCAGGTCACTCGGACTGATATTGGCTCTCAAATATCACAGTCCGCACCACCCAGTCCTACAAGAGAGCTCAATGAGATACCTTACACTGCCCCAGCGGACCCTGGAATTCTTGACACAACTAAAGAGGAGGATGGCACCTTCCGCATTGTTCTATGAGAAGGATCAGAGGATACCACGAAGTTCCAGGTCCCTCCAGGTGAGCCTTTAGGCCTTTTAACATGCCTTTAGCAGCTCATCCTTGTCTCTTCTGTGCTAACTTTGTGTGAGATTTTTGTATATGATTCTGAGTTCCTGTTTCTTCCACTCACAGCCCAACATGTGTATATACTGCAAAACAAAAGGATGATTTTCTCAAGCTAAGCCCCGCTTCTCCCACACATGACTAGTCTATACATGCATTGGATGCATTTGGTTTATTGTCATTCTAGTCCATGAA